ATATTTGTGTGTCTTATAATATTTCGTTTTTTTTTTTTTTTTTTTTTTAACACAAAGCTGTCTGGTTTTAATAATCAGCTTTCAATGTATTGTAAGTGCAGTTATAAAGTACTAAGACTAAATGGACCCAGATTTTAAAAGTATATTAGCTTTGGGGTGTAAGAATAAAAAGTGTAACTGTTTCTTACAATATGCAGGAAAAAAAGGGTAATTGAGATTTACTTTGTATTTTTCAACTTTCAATTACACTACACTGCTGATTTTTGCTAGTTTTACTGAAAAGACTTTATATAACTTTACAAGGATCCAGAGATAATACAAATAAAATATAAAAACTGGAATGAAAAATGTATTTTTATTCTTAACATACAAACCACCTTGCACTCAGAATGACTCATTAAATTTAGACAAATCTTTAGTACAAATACTTTATTAAAAATTACCTTTTTTGTGTACAACATACATGCAATAATCATTAAAAGTCTAAATTTTGTAAAGACACTTGAAATTATAGTACATATTACTATGTATGGTTTTATAGAAACTGTGATGGAGCAAAGCACCAATGCTAGTCACATACGATTAATGGTTGACTGCTTTTTAACAATCATATACTAAAAACCATGTATGGTAAAAGAATAAAGCAGAGTTTATGTTCAAAACAATTGTTCTGCTCATTGGAGAAATTATTTCCTCAAATAGGGGGCCAAAGGTCACCTGGAAGGGTCACCTATTTTAACCACTTGCACATTATACAGTCATGTGTTGTCATTTTATTGTCAACTGACTGACAGACATCACCCAAGGGACACTTAATGTTACAATTTTTACTGTCACAACATCAGTAAAATGTGTACATGCCACAAATCATGAGAAGAATTATGTACTCTGTAGGCTACAACACAGCATGAAATATGAACTTCAAAAGCAAGAACTAAATATTTGGTTATATTTACTCTTGAACCAGAACACTTTCAGGGACCTGTGGAAGTACATCTAGTTAGATACACAAGCAATTCCTTAAGCACAATAACACATCATATAACCAACTATTAAAAACTAACAGTGCAAATAATAAAAACAAACATTAAGGACATACCATATTCCTTCACCTTATCCGATTCTCCATTCAAATATGACCCCAAATTTATACTGGCAACTTGAAGAAGTTCTAGGATGCTCTTATTCCCATCCTGTTGCAACTGTTGATGGATGAATCTTTCTTGACCATAGTTTTGTGGAAGCACAGGGCTAACAGAAGGAAAACTGTCTTCTCCATGAAGTGGTTTTAATGATGTGGGAGATACTGAATCTCTTATGCCTAAAGCATCTAAAAGAAAATACAAAATCTGCTCATCCTATTGTTATATGATAAGACAATATTACTAGACTACATTATCAAGATGCTGCTTTAATCATGCTTAAAAGCACCAGTATCTAGTATGAAATAGAGTTAGTCATTACTTCACTTGTGACTAATAGACAACAGTTGCACTAATAACATTAAACAACAACAACAACAAAAAAGAAACTAAAGTGATTGCAATTCTGGTGATATTTGGAAAAAGTTTTTACTTCCTCAGTCAACCTGGTCACATGTTTTAGAGACTTTTTTAAAGGTTAAAAAGTTTCTGATACAATTTTGAACAGGTTATTAGTAAATTAATAATTTTTCTTTAAAAACTTATCCTTACATTCCTTCATAATAGAACCATGCTAGAGGTTGTCCAGCTTCACAATCCTACATTAAATTTTTTAGTTCTCTTCACTTTATTTATTTTGTTAAATTAAATAATGTTGACTTCAAAGTTCTATACTTCCCTGCTACTCACTTATTTTCTTACTTGAAACACTTGAATATAGCTAATTTGACAAGAGAGGAGGAAAATGCTATATGGCTACTTTCTAGTAAAGCTAGTGGTCTTATAGTATATAATACTAAGAACTGTTCATGTTAAAACTTTGAAATAGTGTACTGTAAATACTATACTTCAATGTTTATTTCAATAAAATCCTAAGCAACAATTTTTTAACCAAGTCAAGATGCTTGAAGCTCAACTGACTCAGCCAGAAGCCAAGGGTTAATCAATCAATTTAAAAAATATCCTCAATAATACCCCAATACCAGGATGCATTAACTTTTTCAGCAGAGGATCAGTCCCTGAAACCAACCTTGTAACCATTTTGTGCTTGTTATAGTTTTCATACTAACTTTTGAATTAGTTAGCAAAAGTTAAAAAAATTTGGCACATTATCAGTAAACATTACAATGCTTTCATACATCAAATATGAATTTTTTTTTAAACAAATCTTAAGGTTTGTAAAGCAATGTTTTCTCATGCCAGTTTTTTCTTTTTGCATGTTGCCTATCTAACATGTAAAGTAATTTCATTTTAAGATTAAAAATACTTCTATGCATCAGAAAATTTTTAAATTTCACATGCAAAATCTTTATAATGTCCAGATAGTTATCAAACATTTCTTAAGAAAAAAAACTTTACATTTTATCTGTTATTTTCAGTAATGAATCTCTGTTCAGGTTCCGTCGATTTGACTGATCTCGTAACCACCATAACAAATGAGGAAATAAACATAAATTATGCCTCCTTCATTCTAGAATGAACATAAATTATAACACTAAAACATAGATGTTTAGGCTAAATAGTTTAAATCTCATAACATTATATATTTATACATATATTTATTATTATTATATTGACCTTTCAGACATGCCTGGCTAACAATACAGAAGTTACAATGATGTGGCTTACGTGCACTCATGTTACTGTATCCAAGAACATAAAACTAACCTTTGGTCTCTACAACTTGTCTTGGCTGTGTTTTAGTAGACAAGCATTTTGTTAAATAGTCACATTTCAATTATTATTCATTATATACATATATATACAGATTATTGCTATTTTGAAATAAGGTCTTTAACTTATTCTTCTTAAAACATAAAATAGTAAATAAAGAAATAAAGTAAACAATTATCTTTTCTAGTTATGACCTTTGTACTTGGGTTGCTGCTTGACGTAGGTTGCTAAGCCTTTAAAACTTTTTGCACGTGGATGATATGAAATTTTTTTTAGGTTTTATATATACATTTGAATAACTAAAAAATCATAAATTACTACATCAATACCATACAGTTCCACGTTAATTTATCAACCTTAGTAACCAAGATGTATTTTAGTCTAAAAAGAATTTCGAGCAGACTAAAGAAATGCCCTACCTCCTTGAAATATTGGTTCAAAAGAAAGAAATGGTGCCAAGACCATTAAAATGGCTGAGAGAACCACTAGGAGGACATTCTGAGCTTCCAAATGGTTATTCAGGTCATATATAGAAGTAAGTGTATATAAGGGAGCTTTTCCATACGAAACTATAAACTTGGTATTTTGACTACACAAACATCTAATTAGAACCAGTGTTGCATTCAACATATCATGTGACACAAAATTCAATGTTTGTGTTTCTTAATATTAACCTTTAAATTAAGAAATTGAGTAATGTATAGTACTAAAATTTGAATTATAATCTACAGTTTGATACCAAATTCATGAAATAGTAGTTCAATAAAATTTTGAATGCGAGTCAACAAACGTGATGACATGGCCTTTCACCCATGACCCATCTCAAAAGGGTTAAGTACCAAACAGAATGTAAAACAAAATAGCATTTTACTAGAGATTAGTACACAATAACATGTATATTAGTTAAAATTAAACAAAATTCCACTTTCATTCTGGCATTTCCAAAATCTGTCAGACAGTGAAGGTGTAGAAACTAGACTTTTCTATCAAAATTCCCAAAAAGTGTGGATTTTACTTTAATTTTAGTAGTTAAGCTTACAATCTTACCTTTTTTTCTAATCAGTAACAAGAAACTGAATGATAAGACTTGGCTATACTGGTATTATATATTTACCTTTAATGATTTGAGGTAGAACAACAAGCTTAAGTCAGCAACAAAGTTTTTTCTCTGCTACTGGAAAAAATGCAACTGTTTCCGAGTAATCTGATGACACTGATTCTAAAAATTATGTTGAAAATTACTGATCACTTCTAGTTTTGATTTTAGGATGGATTTATTCAAAATATTCTTATTTAACATGAAAATAACTTTCTTTAATGAATTTATTCATTGAAAATTGCATTTAAGAATGCTCAAACAATACATTATAGCAATATCAGTTTAAAAAAAGCAATGAGAATAATAAGATTAGATACTGAATATACATTCAGGCTAGGTTCAAAACGTTCATCATGGTATAATTTGTTTGTTTGTTACAAAATACCTGCTTGACTTGTTGCACCTATTGTGCATGTTCTCAGTTTCATGGTATAAGAACCAACAGTAATCTCCAATTATCACAAGATTCTATCATCTTTGATACAGCTGTGCCATTGTAGAAATGTCTTGGTGGAAGCACCCACCATGATCATCACTCACTGCACATAGATCAATTAGGAAGAAATCTAAACGGAAGTGTACAAGTGCGTCTTTAGTGGCATCTTAGAACCCATTTTCCTGTAGTTTTTGAGCATACCATCAATCATTACAACATAATTTTCATCTCTTGCGATTTCTTACAAAACTTTTGACAACAAGTTTGATTGATTTCCTGGCAGAAAGTTTCTTCTGACTAAATACTGTTTCAAAATATCCCCATGAGGTACTGGTTTCTTTGCAGATGCAACATCTGGATATTTAATGTACTGTTTAATTTTGCCTTAACACCCAGAAACATTAGGCATGCAAAAATAACAGTCAGATTATCTTTGTACTCGCTCCATATCATGTGAACTGTAAATGGCATACTTACACTCTTCTTATTCAGCCACTGTCAAGCCAGCTGTGCAAACTGTACGACACACATGTGGAGCAATTATTTTACTTGGTAACCAATTTTATTCCCAAAACAGTGGTATAGTAAATTACCTTTACATTGTGTGTGTAATGTTTTTCCCTTTGTTAAACTAATACATTTTCCACAAATGTAGCAGAAACTGTTTGGGTGATTTTTGCACTTTCTGACTTCACTTGAAATGGAGGCAGCCAGCATTTCAAATAATTTTCTAAAAAATATAAAAAAAAATTATGTTTACAGAATTAGAGTTAAAAAAATTTGTTTTAAAAAATGTTGCTGAATTTTATCATATCACAGGTATGTTTAGACTGTGCGTGGAGCAAGGAAAGTGACTAACTGACTGAAAGGCATCTGACTCTGCCCCTTTTATGCTCAGTCAAGGGAATTCTTGAATGTTCTAGCAAACTGAGCATGTGAGGATTTTGCAATTCTCAGGCATAACAGGTGAGCATTGAGAATGAAACAAAAATGGTGCAATTCTCTACAATTACATTGAAAAGAACTAGCATATATTAACAATATATTTGGAATGTTACACCAATACAATACAGTCAAATTTTTGAATTTATCAAAAACATGTCTTTTGCCCATTAAACTGTCCAAGTAAACTAATTTCACAGAATAAATCTATTGTACTAAGTTGATTGCATGGTGTTTCAGATGGTGCTGATAAAATATTGATATTACAATAACTCAAGATCTAGAGGTGATAGACAAATTCTGACTACATGTTTGAGATTAGCAGCATCAAATTACCCTGAATCACTTGAGTTTTCTCCAGTAGCAAATTTTTTGTTGTCAATATTTATCAATCACCGAAAATACACTTTCTAACCTAGATCTTAGGATACTGAGACAGAAAGTTGTTTTAAAATGATAAAAACAGTTATTTAGCATTAAAACAAGAACACATTGAAAATTCAGAACATGAGTAAAAACAATAAGCCAAGGAATTATTTGTATGGTATCAACTGTAAAGATGAAATTAATTATCTTGATTATGCCCACAGCATTCATCATTATTACACTGATGAAGTTAACATTTAAAACTGATGAAAACTAACTAATGTAAAATAGGAATGCACAGCCTAAGAAATTACAATCTCAGTAGAAAAATGGGAGTGGTTTAATTTTTTCACATGCTTTTCCACCATATTCAATGTTGAAATCTGCAGAATAAATGGTACTAAATGCATGGTTTTCATTTATTTTGGATGATTTAATACATGGCCAGTTAGAAATATATTAAGAGTTCTGGTACACCAATACTTGGCAAAAGTCCTGTATTGGTCTGTTGTTCTTAACTGTTGTGGTTGATTTCTTAATTTGACATTTCTATACCATTAGTTTACTTTATGGGTATCATTTAACTATTAAACTGACCTGAAATTTGTTTCTTTGTAGTTTTTTCTTTTTCTTTGTGGCCCTCATTTTTGTGGTATTTTGGTGTCACATGCTGTGACCCCAATATACCAGTACCATATTAGGACAATTTCTTCATGTACTATATCTATTGTAGGTTATTGTTTTTTTCTTATTTCAACTTTATGTTAGAGATATAATTTAGTAGTAAACTTCCCTGTGATAATTTTTTTCTATTTCCATTTGACTTCTCTGCAGTGAGATGAGTGGTATCCTGATAGGGAACTTTTATCCCCCTTTCTGAATTTTCTTACACACATTCTTAGATAAATGGCACTTGTTTCATAATTTTGTTGAATAAATTAACATGGCTGTCTCATTTTTTGAATGGGCTAACTATGAATATTTTCTGATTGGCCAATCTGAAATTATTGTAACAAGAGCATGTAACTGTAACTGTAGAAGTATTAGGCTTAAGTGACTCCATCCACAACAGTATTATTTCATTTTACTTCCATAACATATTTACTGAATCATGTTACACCAAACCCACAAAATGTAAATAAAAAAATAATTATGATTGTACCTTGTGGTTAAAAATCAGAGTGATTGAGCTAAAACAGGAATAGTTATCTCTGAAACATGAAGGACATGTAATTCAATTGTCTGATCAACAGACTTCCATGCTTAATTTACCTTCACAGTTTATTGCAATTATGTATAAACATACCACACAATACATGTGCCACTAATTCATCCTGAAAAGATGATCTTCGACTATTTGAACAAGAGCCAAGACTGATGTGGGCTGGACTGTCTCTCTGAAACCACTGGCTGAACCGGCTACTTGCAACACCCTGGCTGACTAATGGCTCATCTAAAATACCATTCTGTATGAAAAACCAGGTCAAGAATATCATATATATAACAAAGTATATTATCTAAAATCTAAATGAGGTTTTTCTGCACATATATTACCAAACAAAAACAACAAAATCTAAACTAGACAAACTTTCAAATGGTTTGAAATTTCTCTTTAATATTGTGTATCTAAGTAACAAAATCTCCTGCCAAATGAACCTAATATTAGTTGTTTATACTATCTAGAAGTATAAAAATTAAATAAATTTGAAGAACCATGCTACAAAATTACATGTATTAGCCATACCATTAGTGTTAAACAAGAAATGAGACTGTTGCTTTTATCCTAAAAATCCTTTTTAGCAATACATCAAACTCGTATGTAAAGATGGATTTAATACTTTACAAACTAGAACATGACAAGTTTAACATTTCTCCATAATATAAAGCTGCTCATCAACATCATAAATCAATTTCACAATAAATGTGACAATATAACATTAACACTGGTCTACGCAACATTAAATGGAACCTGATTAAAAAGAAAACTTCCACATGGAGTTTCAGCTTAAACACTATCTGTAATTACACTGCAATGAAACACTTGTAACAACTATTTTTTGTATGTACCATTATCACGAACAACAACATATAAACTCACTGGAATCAGTTTTGAAAGAAAATCACTCTTGAAAAGTTCATTGATATCAAAGCTGGGAGATGTTTGTTTTGACTCTGATTCCTCCTCTGTCTTTACTTCAACAGTTTCACTTTCTCTCTGAACTTCTTCAGTTACCATCATTTCTGGACTATCTAAAAAACAATATGTTGTAGCTTAGAGAAAGAAACACAGGTTAGGAGTACAATATGCGTACATTTTGTTTTACAGAATCAAATACTTCCTAGCTCAACATTATCCACACAGTTACCCATCAGCTGAAAAACAAATCAAAATGAAGTGACTTTGGAAATAATGACATCATAAACCCAATCACAAACAGTATGGGCCACTTCAGATGTTCAGTGATTAAAATTTAAGTATAAAATATAATTTCAATTCTAAACCAACAAACTTTTTTTTATTCAACAATATTTTAGAATGAATATTTAGCATTACTGAATATCTATTTAGTGCATTTCACGATGACCTTTTCTAATTTTCTTTTTTGTGCAGCTCTGAATCTCACATACAAAAAAACACATTTATAGAATTTGTTCAGATTTTTTCTAATTGTCACAATAAGACATTCCTTGTTATTAGTGTTAAAAAAGATTTGTCCATGAATATATTGAGTATTTGTTTTGAATAGTCCATGCGCAAAGTGATTTTCATGTTAAGATTAAAAATACTTTTCTTCATCTCAAATTTCATTTGCATAATCTCTAAAACCTCCTAAATACATTTCAAATATTTATTTCAGTAAAACTATTCTATGTTATTTTTTCTACCCTAATTCTATACAAGGTTGGTCAATATGACTGACCTGTAACCCCCTCTTCCACTCTCAAAAATAAATCTAAATTACCCCTTTTTCTTTCTAGAATGACTTCAAATGTAGCGTCAAACTACATTAGTTTATCCTAAGTAGCTTTAAATTTCTAAAAATATACAATTAAATTTTATTGTTTTGCTGGCCTTTGAACAGTGACATAAGATGTCAATCACTTGGGGAAAATGTAGTTCACATTACACTATCAAATTACATTACCCACGAGCTGCTCGCATGCGTGAATCTTTAAACATTTTTATTATATTATTATTTATTTTACCTAATCTAATCTTAAATAACCTAAAAAGAACTATTTTTACATTTTAGTTACTTTTATGATAATAAATAAAGAATAAACATGAAAAACAAGAAATAAAGTACTTGCGCAATCTTTTTTCTTGCAGTCAACTGCCGATGACATTTAACCCTACTTATACACACACACACACTTTTTTTTTTGTATACAAATGGTAGTCACTAAATTTATTTAATTAAATGTTGCACCAAAGAACATATACTAATATCATAAAAAGTACAAAATTTCCCCAACACAAAATTTTTCTGGCTTTCTAACTGTGCAACAAGAGCCATTACAAAGTCATCCAAGCTAGTCGTTAACCTTTCCACAGGAATGAAGCATGTATTATCTGTTCATAACACAATGTTAAACATCTTTGATAGATGAAAACCTGTGCTTTCTACTGGTTACAGGTAACATAGAATTAAATGCAAGAGAACTATTAACAAATCCTGAAAGGGGATGTGACAGGTGGGTGTGGCAGGATGGGGGTCCATTTTTCTATTTGATAGCTCTGTAACCAAACATAATTGAAGGCAATAAAAATTATGGTTTGTCTGAGCAATGATGATTTTATAGTGAGTAATTTAATTTAATTTCGTAGTTTTTTTTTTGGGGGGGGGGATAAAATAGAGATGAGAAGATACCTAGAGAAAATGTGTCAAGTGTGTCACACTAGGGAAATTCTGGATTTTTTTTAATATTGCCTTGTAGAACTAAAAACATAGAACTTTTACTATTAAAATATGAATTATTAGCTAAGATTTTATGCTATACTAATTGGTATAACAAACAAAAAGTAGTTTAATAAAATTTTGAATATAAGACACTAAAACCTTGTGTCATGTGTAGTAAAGGATACACGTGGCAATAGGGTTAAACATATATTGATCCAGACCAAAAATACTTTTGGGAAAAAAATAAAATAAAATCACACTCACTGTTAACAAAGGTAACTATGGTGCCATTTTGAAAGATGAAGTAATTTTTCATACAGTACTTATGATTTATTAGTAGGAAGTCAACTGCTTCAATCACCAAATTAAAGTACTAAATGAAGTATACTAATGAATATCAAACAAGATGAAATTTACTGGATATTTAAAATAGAACTTTCTGATCAATAATTAAGAAAGTAATTTAAGTCTCAGGTGAAAGAAAGTACTTATCGTTATTTCAAAACAGTGACTCAGCAAAAGTTTGAAAGATTTGAAAATGTAATTACAGAAACATTAAATCAAATCAAAATTTTTTCTTGTAGAAATGAGATCCTATTTCAAAAGGTTTTACATATTATCATACAAGTTGGTTAAGTATTTCTCACTATGAAAACAAAAACTAAAATTTTCATATCAAAATTGTGTTTTTTTTCTTTTTTTTTTAAATCCAAATGTCACAGAATATGCAGTATAAACAGAGCTATCAATAACACACATACATGCATCTGTGACCCTCAAAAATTATTTTTGAAGCATCACAGCTTTCTCATATGCTTGCATTGATGCACATACTTTATATTTTCATTACAATACTTTGTGTAAAAGGATATTAATTTATTCTTGTTAAATCTAAACCAATTTAGATCTTAAACAAGAGGGAATCCTCAATAGCCATGGCACTTAGATTAATTCACTAATCCTGCCTAAAAGAATTTCAAGAGACATTTGTTTCCCTTTTTATACGCTAATTTGTGTGGGACACACATATACTGAATTAAATTTTATTAATCATCAGGATCTTTACCAGCCTACTCTCAAATTGAAATTCTTTTAGGCAGGATTAGAGCAAATTAATCTACAAGATTTTGGACATGCTCAAATACATCAAAAGGATTTGACCTCCAGAATCCAAAACTGTAATTAGATCTCAAATCAATCAAGAGATGACTGAGCTACGAGCTTTTTTAAAAAGTTTGTACTTGAAAAAAACAACAACTCTGAGCCATTCTATGAGCCACTCAGCTGTGGCTATAAAAACACAACACCCTAATATAACTTCTGGCTGCAATTTTTACAAAGGGCTCTAAAGAACACATTTATAAAATAACATATCCTAAAATCAATTTCATTATTGACTGCTGATCTGCATAAAATCAATGTCATTTCAACTTGTGGCTTTTTATACAATTCTAATTGATGTTTGTTAAATTTTGTACAAAGTTACTAGAGGACTATCTGCACTAGTTGTCCTCAATTTTGAAGTGATTGACAAGGGGGAAGGCAGCAAGTCAGATCTTGGGCTACTCTCTGACAATGAATAGAAGGATTGACCATCATATTATAATACCCCATAGCTAAAACTGCATATTTAATGACAGGTGTTGATCCATGACCTGCAGATTGTGCCTTAACTTGCCATGCAATGAAATGCTCCTCTAACTAATGTACAAAAACTAGCTTACAAAAACCATAATCTGAGCAGAAAAATAGATATTCATGATTTCTGCAATAATTTCCTGTCATGAGTGAAGGTATTGTGGAAGTAATTGTGTGTGCAAAGGAAGCATCCAATATAGTGTCATCAATAGTCGACAGCAACAAAAATATTTGGATAAGTACTTAATTCCTTTTTTTTTATGTTTATTTTTTATTTATTATTATAAAAGTAAGTAAAATGTAGAAATAGGGATTTCTTTAGGTTAGTTAAAGTTAGATTAAGTAAAATGAATAATATTATTATAAAAATATTTCATAAGGCATGCATACGAGCAGCTCACGGGTAAGGTAATTTGATAGCATAACGCAAGCTGCACATTCCCCAAGTGATCTACAACTTATAATGATGCAAATAGTAGTTAGACACAGTCCAAAGGGCAATAAAACAATAACATTTAATTATAAATAGATGTATACTATTATGAATTTAAAGCTACTTAGGATAAATGAATGTAGTTTCATGTTACATTTGATGTCCTTTTAGAAAGAAAAAAGGGTAATGTATTTTTTTTGGTGGTTACGAGGTCGGTCAAATTGACCAATCTGGTATTGAGTTACGGTAGGGAATAGAGCAAAATATAAAGTTATACTGAAAACAAATATTTCACATGTATTTAGGAAGTTTTAGAAATTTCACACATGAAATTTGAGATTTTTGAGATGAAGAAAAGTATTTTTTAATCTCAACAAGAAAATCACTTTGCACACAGACAAATACTCAATATATTCAAGAACAAATCTTTTTCTAGTTCATTAAAAATACTTCACTAAAAATATGATTTTTTGTATGTGAAAGACTTATGTTTACTGAAAGGCTGCCAAATTTTGTGAAGATGTACACACTATATTAAAAGTTAGTAGTATCAAATCTATAAAGACTTTGAATGAGTACAAAGAGGTCACATGGTCGGTCAAATTGAGAGAGTTAATAGGTTAGATCAAAATGGTTTCAATGATCAGTGTGCAAAGCAAACTGATTTATTTATTTAATAGCTTAATATGTCTATCATTAAAAAAAAAATCAGCAAGTTTCACTTACAGTCTGTTCTTTCTGCTCAAAACAATCTGAAATATTTGTGAAAAACAAAGGTGCAGCCAAAAAAAGGATTTAGCATGCAACTTAACAGAATGAAGTCAAAATTGGTGGCTAAACTGGTAGCTACCCTTATAGCATCGATAAGAATTTTACAGCATATATTTATTCATTAGTTAGCAAGGCCACATTTTTTGCTGAGCTTGGTGCATGATGGAGACTTTCATAAAATTTATCAAATTTTTGCTTAAAAGTTAGTAATGAATAATAACCATACACCCATATGATTATTTTGAAAAACTTGAGCTAGGAACTGCTAATCTAGTTTGCCTGGCAACACCAATACTTATGTATCTGCACCTACTTTCATCCTATAGTGTAGCTGCTCTAAATCAGCAGTCTTTAATATGATTGTTAAAAAAATCATAAATAGCCCACCTTTACTCTTAAGTGAAGTTCTAGTATAAATTTCAGATTGGATAGCTGATGCAACTTCTTGCATCGGCATGCAGAAAAATTTCGGTTAATTTTTTTTTTTTTAATATAACTTTACAGTGGCTGATACTTAGACCAAACTTGACACCTAATTGTAGGTTGTAAAGATCTATCAGTGTACCAAACTTGCAAAAAGAAAGTTTCCATACCTTCAGTGCGAAGAAATTCAATCAAAATTGGAGATTTTATATCTCATGCATTTCTTAACAAATTACCTTGAAATTTGGTATGTGAAGTAAGAGTACAGTAGAGCACATCCACTAAAAATATGAGATAGTTTGGATTACCACAGTCGGAGCTACAAAAAGTGGAAAATTGTTAAACTATCACTTCTGGCAATAATACAACGTGTCTTGTAGGTTGTTTTAGCTGCACGACAAACTACCGTGTGTCTTGATAACCTTGCTCCACATAATTAAAATAAAAATGCAACAGCATTTAAAAACACTATGTGCCTGTTTTCCTTCATATTTTAAGTCTCTCTGCAGTTAGAAGGTACCTTTCTCAATTTAATGAATGGTATTTCAGATAAATCTAATTTCATATTTCCAGTATATATTATAACTGGTTTTGGGAGGGCACGTGAACACAGTTCATCATTCTCATCAGATAAAGATGAGATATAGTTAGAATATTCCATAAATATTCATCTTCTGTCATTGCCTCATCCAACCCACAACATTCAATGTTCAACGTGAAAGAAAAATAATATTTTGTCATTAATTATTGTGAAAATTAACTCAAAGTGCAAGCCATTTTGGGATCAAAATATAATATGATGTTAATTATAGTGCCTCTTTGCAATGGATATCAGCATTATCCAAAACAAAATTGTGCTACATGCTTGGACTCGGAAATTGTGCAGAGCCTGATAGACCCTAGATTTTCCTTTAGACTAACTCTAAAGCCTGTAGCTCTGATAAGCAATGATTATCAGAAATAAATGATGTTGCAACAAGTATTAAGACATATCAGACATGCAATATGCTAAAAATCTACCTCTTTTGAGAGAAGTTTTAGTTAAATAATTTGTTTTTTCAGTAGCTTGTGTGGTAGAAGTTTGTTTATGAGATGAATCTTGATATTTTTTACCCTTAGATTGCCTTCCTTCTTTGTTTTTTTTCTCTTGTTTAAACTCATCCATTCCTACCAGTTCAACTGTTTCTGACTGGCTGGCTGGCCCTTCTACAAACCACTCAGGCTCTTCTTCTGGAACGTAACCATCTGATCGACCTAATGGAAAATATTATAAACTAATCTTTTTCCTTGGATGTGTATATAACCTAATACTTGTATTCAATTTCATCTCAGTTTCAAGAACAAAAACATCAAGATTAGAAATGGGTTCTTTACAGTATTTAATCTACAGCTTCTCTCATCATTTCAGTACTTCATTTAACTCTTTCAGTATGGGTACATTTTTCTGTGCATATCACAAAGTTTTACTGAGTGACATTCAAACTTTAATTAACTCTTTCTACACAAGTTTGGTCGATTTGACTGACCAGGAGACCAATTTGTACTTATAATTTTGATGCTACTAACTTTTAATATAGTATGTGTATTTTCACAAAATTTGGCAGACTTTCAGTAAACATTACAAGTATTTTACATAAAAAAAAATAAAAAAAAAAAAAA